CCCTTCCGTCTCATTGTCAATCCCCCCCCAAAGAAAAAAACATCCCGTACTCTCTTCGGTTCCCCTTGCGGGCTTACTGACTGTCCTACCTTTGTACGTAATCTCTTTAGATAACATTCCTCCTCTACATCTCCTATACCAACCATTTTCTAGCCATTAACACCGCCCTTTTACTTTTATAACGGAAGAGATCAAATGGCGTTTATAAAGTATCTCATCCCTGCTTTCGCTGTGGCTGGCCTGGTAGCTGGGCAAAGCTGTGAGTTTTTTTTTTCGTCTTCTCCATTTCCAGAGTCTCGCTGTAACTCGCTCGATATACTCATGGCCGCCGCGATTTCAATGGGGGGTCCAATTGGCTCCCGAAATATATAACTCTCTACATGCACCTAACTCGCTGTGTGCGTGACTCTAGCTTGCAAGGGTAACAAGGTCATTCAAAACCAAGGAGATGCCTCTGCTCTCGCCTCCTGCAGCAAAGTCGATGGTGACATTGAGGTTGCTGCCCAAGTTCCCAAGGGCAGCATCAGCCTTGATGGCATTCGGGAAATCACCGGCAACCTGATCGCCAAAGGCTCCCAGAATTTGACCGCCCTGAGCGCATCCCAGCTCGAAAGTATTGGCGACACCTTCCAGCTTAGCGGATGCATTGAGCTGAGAACTCTCGAGTTTGAGGCTCTTACCCAGACCGGTGCTCTTGATTTCGAAGCCCTCCCCAACCTGCAGCAGCTCGCGTTCGGCAAGGGTGTTTCCAAGGCCAAGAACGTCCGAATCTCCAACACAGACCTGGTTACCCTGAAGGGTATCATGTTGGAAACCGTTGGTGACTTGGAAATCAGCAACAACCCCCATCTGAAGGAAGCTGATGTTGCAATGATCACCAACATCACTGGCTATGCTAGCTTCTCTGCCAACCACGTGGACCTCAAGATCTCTTTCCCCAAACTCGAGCGTGCCTTGAACATGACATTCCGCAACGTCTCCTCCATCGAAATTCCGTCCCTCCGGAGCACCCAGGGTCTCCTTGGTTTTTACTCCAACTATTTTGAGGGACTACAGGCCCCTAACTTGACCAGCACTGGAGAT